ATTCTTTGTGATTTACATATTCACTTTACCTTACCCATTACTATTCATACTGATAATAAATCAACTTTTCATTTAGCCCATAATCCTGTACAGCATCAAAGAACAAAACATATAGAATTAGACTGCCATTTAATTAGAGAAAAAATTAATTCTGGTTTAATATCTTTGACTCATATTAAGAATAATTTTCAACTTGCAGATATCTATACTAAAGCACTTGGAAATCCTCTTTTCAATGAATTTGCAGTCAAGATGAACATGATGGACATTCATGCTCCTCTTGAGGGGGCGTATCAAGAATAAGCTTGGGCTGATTCTTTCATTCCTTTCCTTTTTTGGGCTTTTACCCTATTGGGCCTCTGTTTAATAACCTATAGTATAAATAGGTAACAGTGTAATAGATAGGGTTAAGGCTTTTCATTATTTTTCTCTTCTTCCGCATCCAGAACTACTCTGCGTTCTTCATCTTTGTTGATTCACTATCAGATCAAAATTTCCAGATCAAATTCTTCAGTTCTTATTGATCAATAATTTGCCAACAATTGTATAAATTCATTTTGAATCCTTCCTCCAAGATATGTAACATAAGTCTCATGATCCATAATAAGACGTAAGTGCTAATAAATAAGTGCTCTGCCTGGTCAAACTCAAGATAAATAAAACACAATTTATTGAAATCATAGATATGATAATATTAGTTTTTTTTACGACATATCCTAATATTAGTTAAATAAATGTGCTAAATAATGCATTATTGTCACTAAATTAGAGGACATAACCTACTTAAAATGTAAATTTTAAATATAAAAAAACTGAAATTGTTTAATTATGCATCTTAGCTCATTTGAATAGTCAAAATTAAGTTCAAATTTAATTTTCTAAATGTATGAGTCCAACAATATGATCTCAAATCAACCCTGGAACAATTTATATTTATCTTCGATTAAGACAAAACAAGAGTTTTTCATTGTGTCCAAAACAAATTCAAAATGGGCCCATAAACTCTCTTATCGTACAATCTCAATTCTCAAAAGTGAGAACTTGCAAACTCAAAAGCTCACAAAAAATTGAAAATTGAAAGGTGTGTCCTTTACTGACGCACCGCCCGTCGGCTCTAGTAATCTAGTTCGGTTGTTCCTCTTCTAACTTCATTGGTCAATTTGTCGGCTATTTCATTTTTCAAACGCAGCAGCGATAGAATTTAACAAAGGCATGTTTTTTATATTTAAAAATACATATAATACATATAAAAGGAAAATAGCTAGGGAGGAGTACTACAGTTTTGACAAAAAAATCTGCTCTATGAGCAACAATTCAATTTCAAATGAACCTGGCGGTGACATTCTATAATTGTTTAACTTGGAGAGGTGAATTATTGCAAAAAAAACTTGGAGAGGTGAATTATTGCAAAAAAAACTTGGAGAGGTGAATTCAGATAACGATAATAACTCCACTCAAAAGGAGGTAACACGCAAATCGGTTGATTTGGCTGATTCTGCTGAAATTTATGAAGTTTTGGCTAAAGTGACTGCATTGGCTGATTCTGCTGATTTAAGAAGAAAAAAAAATTAAAATATATTTTACTAATAAAAATAAAAAATTATATGTAAAAATAGCTAAAATGATCATCTAAAGTAACTTCAGCCAATACAGCCAGAAAAGTAACTTCAACATTACTTTTTCTGCTTATTACACAATTCAGCGTGCGAAAACAAAAGTTACGTGATTGATGAAAAAGTTGGCTGATAAGTTTGATAGGCCAAAAAATAGTGTTGCAAAACGGCCTCTTAAAATGATCGGCTATTTATTTGTTGTCAAAGCAATAATATATTATTACCGAAACTTATCCTCATCAAATAATACTTGACCCAAAAGAAAAGGTAAAAACTAAACAACCAGGTAGTAACTAGCTAGTAGAGGTGTGAATTTGTAAGTTCTCAAAGTTTGAATTTCCAAGATTTCTTGATAACTCGTATCCTCAAAACATCTATTCTTATCATTGAAATGTATTTAATTGAAATGTATTCAATTATGTTCAGCCCCAACGAAACCCACTGTAAAGCGAAAGAACCCTCCAAATTCGGATGAAAGGCGATTTCCAAGTTAAAAGCAGGTCATATTGTCTAAGGTCAAGGAAACTTTATTCATTTTTCTATTAGTGCTAGAAAACTTTGTTGAAATATGCCAAAGGAGGCCAATAAAATTTAAAACACATCTGGAAAGAGTAAAAGTTACAAAGAGATTATTGCTTTTCATCTCCCTACTATTCACTATTTTATTTTTAAGTCATCTCTAACTTTATAACCATTCTATTTTAAAAATAGTATCGATTGTATGCATCTACTAGAAAATTTTGACCTTGTAACCATTTTTCGAGACTAAGATGAGAGTTGAAATAATGTAAAATTAATCATTACTGCCTCCGTCCCATAAAATAGTTTCCACTAGGATTTGGATCGGAGTTTAAGAAAGTGGGAATAAAGTGAAAATGCATGGTTGTGGTTGAGTAAGAAAAAAGTAAATGAATGGTATTATGGTAACCACACAAAACACTCCAAAAAGGGAAATGGGAATTATTTTTTGGGACGACCCAAAAAGAAAATCTGGAACTATTTTGCAGGACGGAGGGAGTACATCTTAAGCCGGGGTATTTTTTACTACGATCTGAACATAAAATTACGCATTTTATAATAACATCAAAGAGAATGAGAAAAAACTCATTAGTTAGGATTGTTTCTATGTCAAGCGGAAGTTGTTGTGATTGGTGAAAGACTAAAATGAAAACAACATAAGCTACATGCATGGATGAAAAATAAAAAGCACTATATTTTCATGGACTAAAAATAGATTTAGAAATAAAAAACAGAAAAAGTGCTCATAATAGGACTAAAGTATAGACGAAGTGCACAAATGAGTCCTTATTTTTTATTCTCACAATATGACTTATTTAATCCTATAAAAGCACATATTTTCCCCAATTAAGAGCGCATGATTCCTATTTTAGAAATGAGCATTGATAGTTTTATGAAAGAATTTCACTAATATTACTTATAGGAAAGTGGTAGACAAAAATGTGGCTTGCTAAGTTTTAGTATTTCTAAGTTACTATGATACAATTACTATGATGTAGACTTTGAACATAATTATAGTTACTAAAAATTATGAAATTACATATTTATACATGACTTTATTTATTAATAATGTTTCAAGAAAAAGCTCTAGTTTTATTAGAAATTGCCCTAAATAGGAGTAAAAACGCTTTGAAAATTCCAAAATAGGAGTATCGTATTTTTTATTCTTTGAATAGAAGTAATCTGCCAAGTTTGAAAAAAATGTCATGTTTAAAAGCCTAGTAATGCCAAACTTGGCAAAAATTTACTCCTATTTAGGGAATAAAAAACATGATAGTCCTATTTTGTAATTTAAATTGTTTTTTACTCATATTTAGAGAATTTACTCTAGTTTTATCCGTAAGATTTTACTTTTGTTTTAATTCTATTTAAAGATTTTTCTAAAAAATATACAGTATCAGCCTTGTTTCTGATTATCCAATCAAACAAGCCTTTAAGGTGGTAGGACCAAAAGTGATTTATTACGGGATTTACGGCCTATGGGCGTGCACACAATTAGTCAAACAAATATTACGAAAATATATGAAAATGATGGTAGTCGGATAAAGCCTTCCCACCGAGGAATTTATATGATTAATCCCTAAATTCTCCAAATTAGGAATGATGTACTGAGTTTACTGAACTTTGAAACTGTTGAATGGAATGAGTGGGAATGAATTCATTGAAATTTTTTATTAAATGGATCGAATTTGATGAATTATGAAAATTAAATTTAAAATACTACGTAGTAATATGCATATTTTATTAATAAATTTAAGTAAAAGTTACGTTAAAAATAGTCATCTATAGAAATTTCAGTTAGGAAAGTGACTTTAACCCCACTTATTTTGACTATTACACGATTCAACATGTCAAATAAAAAACAACGTATAAGCTGAAAATAAGGATTACCAAACGGAATATTAAAATCAAATTGACTTATTTTCATTAATTTACTAGATTAAATTCAAAAGACAAAAATATGACTTATTTTAAATTTTTCCAAAAAGAAACGTATTCAGCGACTAGTACCCAGTGCGTCATCTATCGATGACATGTCATTCTGAAATACACTATAGTGACTATTGTACAGTGACTAATTATATTTTAGTCATATTTCTGTTCGGAGAAAATTTGTTAATAATAAACATGTGTGAATTGGGAGAGTAAAGATATTATTCCGTGAACTGTCTTTCTTGTATATGCGGGAGGTTTTCACATAAGCTTTAAATGGGACGGAGGGAGTATTTCTTTTTTTCCTACTTTAATTTAGTGGATAAAAATGCAGATTAGAAAACAAAAGGAAACTACACTAAAGATTGAGAAAAAACTAAGAGTCGGTTTGGGAATACTAAAATCGAGTGAATCGGTTGATTCTATTAAAATTTATGAAGTTTGGTTGAAGTAGCTATATTGGCTTATTCTGCTTACTTATAAAAAAATTATATTTCAAATATATTTCAAATTATAAAAAAAGTATATGAAAAAAAAATAGTCATCTATAGTAATTTCACCCAAAACAATCAAAACAATAACTTCAAACTTACTTTTCGAAGTCAAAATTTATGTGTTTGATTAAAAAGTGGCACCTAAATGTCATTTGTAGCGTAATGACTTACGACCGGTGGACGTAGCTCAACTGGTAGCAAGAGAGTGCCACAAGGGTTAGGTCTCAAGTTCGAATACTTGCAACTGCGATGAGAGGTTACTATGCTAAAAATGCATAGAGCTTCTGCAAGTATCGGAGACAGAACCCCATTCTCTATCTTCTCAACGTACCGTCCGGTCGGGATTGGAGGGTAGTATGGGTGTCATCTTTTTTTTTAGCCTAATGGCTTACGTACAACTTACAATGGGAGATGCTATAATAAAGTTGCGTTCATTGTCATTATTGCCAACTCTCCGTCCACCCAAAAACGTTGTCCTCACTCCCCAACAGTCAATCATGGCGGCGCCATTAGTTTTCCGGCCAGACCTCAACCTCTTCTGCCTCTCCGCAATTTATTTTCTTTTCAAATGCTCACTCGCAGCCGCCGGAGACCTCCAAACCCTCCTAACCATCAAAACGGCACTTCAAAGTTCCAACCCCAAGACATTTGACACTTGGAAACAAGACATTTCCGTCTGTAACTTCACCGGAATCACTTGCGGCTCCGATGGATCAGTCAAAGAATTGGAACTTTCTGGCCAGGGGATCTCCGGTTCTGTGCCTTTTGATTCTATTTGCTCACTTGAATCTCTGGAAAAGCTCTCTCTTGGATTCAATTCACTTTTCAGCGGACTATCCAACGACTTGAATAGATGCGTTAGCCTGAGGTACTTAGACCTTGGGAATAATTTTTTCTCCGGCCCGGTTCCGGGAATGTCGGCGCTGAATGAGCTGACGCATTTGCACCTGAATAACAGTGGGTTCTCCGGAATATTCCCGTGGGATTCGCTGAAGAACATGACAAAACTGGAGGTCCTTAGTCTGGGGGATAATCCGTTCAACCGGACGAAGTTGCCGGACTTTATTGTGAAGTTTACGAGTTTGAATTGGCTTTATTTATCAAACTGCAGTCTTGAAGGGAATATCCCAAAAGGGATAGGAAACCTCACAGAATTGATCAATTTGGAGCTGTCCATGAATTACATTACCGGCGAAATCCCGGACGGAGTTACGAAGCTCCAGAAGCTATGGCAGCTCCAACTATACAACAATGAGCTCACAGGAGAGCTACCGGCCGGGCTTGGCAACCTCTCAAATCTTGAATTCTTTGATGCTTCAACAAATTTCCTACACGGCGGTCTTTCCGAAATTGGAAAGTTGGATAGACTTATAAGTTTGCAACTTTTTCAGAACGAATTTACCGGCGTAGTCCCGCCGGAGTTGGGGGAGTTTAGGAATCTGGTCAACATTTCTGTCTACACGAATAAGCTCAATGGATCTCTCCCTTCCAAGCTTGGGTCGATGTCAGATTTTTATATGATAGACGCTTCTGATAATTTCTTCAGCGGACCTATTCCGCCGGAGATGTGTAAGCAAGGGAAGATGAAGTTGTTCTTGCTACTCCAGAATAACCTCACCGGAGAAATACCCCAAAGTTACGCGAACTGCACAAGCCTGAGGCGTTTCCGGGTAAGCCAGAATGACCTTTCCGGTGTGGTTCCTACCGGAATCTGGGGACTGCCGGACCTCTTCATTCTTGATATTGCGAACAACGGATTGGAAGGTACTATCACCGGCGATATCAAGAATGCAAGATCATTGGCCCTGCTGTACGTCTCTAATAACAGATTGTCCGGTGAATTGCCTTCGGAAATTGGCAGTGCTTCTGCTATGGTATCGATTGATTTGAGCATAAATCAATTTTCCGGCGAGATTCCTACGAGTATTGGCGTGTTGAAATCGCTAGGGACGGTTTTGTTTTACACAAACAATTTTTCTGGTTCAATTCCGAATTCGCTGGGCGAATGTGTTTCTCTGAGCGACATAAACATGGCTTACAACTCTCTCAATGGTGCAATCCCTTCCTCGCTAGGATATCTGTCTACTTTAACTACACTAAATCTGTCTGGGAATAAACTTTCCGGCGAAATCCCGGCGAGTTTGTCATCCTTAAAGCTCAACCTCCTTGATTTGTCCAACAATACTTTGTCTGGTCCCATACCGGAATCCCTCTCACATGAGGCATACAACGGCAGCTTCACCGGAAATTCAAGACTCTGTAGCCAGAATATCAAATCCTTCAGAAAGTGTTCAAGGGAATCGGGCATGTCCCGTTATTTCCGCACTCTCTTAATTTTTCTGTCAGTTTTATCCAGCACAGTTCTTGTTCTGCTGGCATTATTCTTCTACTCAAGGAAGAACAGTTACCGGGAGCGGTCATTGAAGGATGGAAAATGGGATCTTGTCTCTTTTGGGCCGCTGAGCTTCAAGGAAGAGGAAGTTCTCGACGCTATCAAGGAAGAAAATTTGATCGGTGAAGGCGGGTCGGGTGGTGTCTACTTGGTCGCCCTCCAGAACGGAACAGATTTAGCCGCAAAACACATTTGGAATCCCAGCAACACTGACCGGAGAAATTCAATCACAACCAGCACCACTCTTATAAAACATGGGGCAGTGTCGAAACAATTTGAGGCGGAGGTTCAAACACTTAGCTCGATAAGGCATATGAATGTTGTGAAATTGTATTGCAGCATAATGAGCGAAGACTCAAGCGTGCTGGTTTATGAGTATATGCCCAATGGGAGCCTATGGGACAGATTACACACGTCTAAGAAGACAGAGTTGGATTGGGAAACTCGTTATGAGATTGCTCTCGGAGCGGCAAAGGGATTGGAGTATCTTCACCACGGGTGTGACCGCCCCATCATTCATCGGGATGTCAAGTCGAGTAACATTTTGCTGGACGAGTTTTTCAAGCCAAGAATAGCGGATTTCGGTCTTGCAAAGATGATGCAATTCGACACGAGCGGGAAGGACTCAACTCATGTCATTGCAGGAACTCATGGATACATAGCTCCAGGTAAGCAACACTCCACTTAATTTTCATATTTATATTAGGCACAAGGCAGGGTTGGAGGGTTGGTTTTGAACTCTTGTGCTTTTGGTCAGTTTAGCTTTAGTGAATTTAGTTTCGTAAGATACAACCCCAAAGAATAACCAAATAACTTAAATTCTATTCAGCCAGTTTTGACTTTGTTTAGTGTTTCACTGTCTGTTCTGAGGCAAATCTACATTCTGAGGATCCATTAGGGTGAGTTAGGTCAAGCTCAATATGGCTTTTGAACAGGGTGCGTTTGAGGTTTGTTTTTTTTGCAGCCATGGTTACAGGCCATTTGGCTCATTTAGCCATCTATTAATTTCAGTTCAGTTTAGGCTGAAGGACATGCTAAGTACTTCACATTGAATGTCTATCATATCTATATCAAATAGCCCCTTCATCCCCGAAAGAATGTCCTAGTTTGACTTCACACATATTAAGGAAATAAATTTGACTTCACACTGCAGTGACACTATTGACACTGTAGCGACACTGTTTAACACTGTTTGACACTGTTTAATATAGTTTTGTTTACCAAATAAGGAAGTTAAAGAAGTAGGACATTCATTTAAGGACTTCCATTTTGGGAAAGTAGGACATTCTTTCGGGGACGGAGGGAGTTATATAAGTGTGAGTTGATCCTAGAATGGCTTTGAGGGAGTGTTAGGTCTCAGGCTTAATACATTTTGTTGGTTCTATAATTTGATTTGAGTTAATATCACTATGTTCGGGGGACATTGATCTATCATATCTATATCTAATGTATAAGTGTGAGTTAATTATAGAATCCTTTTGAGGGAGTGTTAGGTCAAATGTAATTGATTTTGTTGGTATCGGTTCGGGGGATATTTGAAGCTTGCATAATCCTCAAACCGAAGAGTTCAAGACCAAACCACATAAGTAGAGTATGCTTTGGTCACTTTTGATGGTTTGATGGTTTTGTTCATTTCTAGTTTATATAATAAACTGAATAAATTGATCTGATTTTCAAATAAAAATGACTGCTTCTGTTGCAGAATATGGATACACGCACAATGTGAAGGAGAAAAGCGACGTGTACAGCTACGGAGTAGTACTGATGGAGCTTGTAACGGGGAAGAAGCCGATAGAGAGGGAGTATGGAGAGAGCAACAACATTGTGAGTTGGGTGAGCACCAAGTTGAATAGTAGAGAGGCTATAATGAGCATAGTTGATTCTTCAATTCCAGACTACCATCAGCAAGACGCAATGAAGGTTTTGAGAATTGCAATTTCATGCACTAATGCCCTCCCAAACTCAAGGCCAACCATGCAGAGAGTTGTTCAGCTGTTAAGAGACGCTGCGCCTTGCAAGTTAATCGGCGAAAAATGGTTGGTGAACTCCCAAAAAGATATATTACCGCCCGAAGGTTTGGTTTGATTTGGACCAGTTCAAGAATGGGAATGAGTATATTACCCAAATGCATCATTTTTACTGCCCGGAGGGGTGATCACTCCGTGTTTGAAATCCAAGTCCATCTCTATCTCAGCAAGTGATCAAATGCAGTTTAAAATGTCTTGATGTATAGTTCTAATCTTTTTGTATAAATTGTACTGCATTTTTATTATACTCCGTATGAAAATTCAGTAGCCTTTTACACTTCAATTCCCTTTGCTGACAACTGACATGGTGCAAACATGCCATGGTGTTCCAAGTCTTTTTCCAATCGGGTGCACAGTTTTGGTGTAATTAATTCGGGTATTCAATTTGAAAAAGAGTTTTTTCTTGAAATATTACAAATAAAAATGTGAATGACAAAAATGTGACTTAGTAACTATTAATGACTATAATTGTGTTCAAAATTTAAATTAACATACATTTAGTTACTAGATGTAAGTTTTACATAAAATTATAGTCACTAATAGTTATCAAGTACTCCGTAATATTTTTGTCCTTCACATTTTAAAGAATAATATTTATGGAACTATTTCTAAAATCATTATTATAAAAGGGTAATTTGTGTGGGTTGGGTTTTATACACTTGCCTGTTTAAGTTTCTGAACTCATATTAAATGGTTATAAGTAGGAAAATTGTGATTTTTGAAAGTAAAATGAACTTGCAATGGTCTGATTTTAATGCATGTACAAGCAAAGTAACTAGAACTACATTGCTACTAAATAATTCAGCCCATTTCACCCCTGAATTTTTCTTTTACTTATTTCAAATATCGAATTAATCCAAAAAGATGTGATGCTATTTAAATTGAAGTCAAAATGGTGCTGTTTATTACTTGGGGTTTAATTAAGATACATATATTCTTTTTCAACTTAGCAATGTTCTCTTGATATTGAAATTCAATTTCACCCCAGATACTCAGAATTTATAATGTCTTTCATTAGGTCTTTCAATATTAGGACTTCTTTTAGGCCCGCCAGCGATATGCAGTTATGCACTATGATGGTTGTTGAGTTACAATAAATAGGAGTGATTTGCTTTTATAAAAGGAAAAAGGGATAGTCTGGAGTAAGACATTTTAAAATTTCAAAATATAAGTATTATGAGTATATTTTTATTTTCTAAATAAGACGTAAGAGTATTTACTACCAAATTTAAAAAATCATCATGTCTAAAGTTAATAATGTCAAAATATGCATTACTGTATGTAAGTCATTATCATGTTTTAAGTCATTATTTTTGTTCATATATAAATGGCATATGTATGGGTGTAGTAATTTTACCTAGACCTGTCAATGGGTCGAGTCCGAGCCGTAACGTAGTGTTTTAGATTCGGATCTGATCCGTTTACCCAACGGGTTTTAAAATTTGGACACAGACTCAGAGTCAACGTGTCTCGAAACTGGATTGGGTAGATCCGCAAAGTATGATACACACAACATTATAAATTTTGTAAAAATAACAAGACATGTATGAAATGTAAAGTGCGCAAATTTAAAAGAAAAATATATCTTCACTATTCTAAAAAAAATCAAGGTTTGTCATAGAAAATTAGTACTTTTATTCAATAATGTATCGGTTCTTGTAGAGGCATATAGCTCCTAGGCATGTAAAAAAAACCGGCTCCCGCCCTGACTCGAGGCATTTGGGGCGGGTCTAGCCCACCCCATTTTAAACATGGGATGTGTCCTCCCCTCCCCGTCCATGCAATGAGGTGGGTCCGGGTTTAGTATTGACCCGTGTCGTCATGCCCCGTCCTACCTCGCTCAATATATAAGTATATACTATCCTCCGTATCTCATTAATTGCAACATTGGAATATATACACTATTCATGTACTTTACTTTGACTACATTTTATTTATTAATGTATGTGAATTATTATTTTTGAAAAATATTATTAAATTCGTCTCATTACTAAGTTTTATAATCTGAATTTTATTTTATTTTTACTAATACAAAATTAAATATAATGGCGGTCAAAGTTGTGCGTTGGCAAACGTAAAATGTTGGTTGTTGCAACTAAAAAGAGACGGAGGAAGTATGATTTTTTAAAAATACCTCAAATATACATATACATACAAATGTCTATAAAATCATAAATTTCTTGGTCTTGTAATATATTTATATCTATATTTGAATGAGATGAACAATAATTAATTGTCATTTTCTTTTTGTATTTAGCATTTTATATATTCATTTATTATTAATAATAGATTATCTATTCATGCCTTGGTAAGTTTTCTTAAACTTTTGACATTTTCAGTGTATAGCGGCATGATTTATTATAGGCTAAAGGGTCAAATAGGCCCCTGTACCCTTTCGGATTGCTCAATTTGCCCCCTCAACCCAAAAAAGCTCCAATTGACACCCTGAACTCCATAAAAAAATTCAAATTTCACTTTTTGCAGGTCACAAGTCGGTCACCGCCACATCACCCGGTAGGGTACCAACTGTGCATGTGACATGACAACTTAGGGGGTCAAATAAGCCCCTGAACCCGACTGAAATGTTCAATTTACCCCCTCAACCCTTAAAAACTTTTTGACATTTTTTAGGGTTAAGGGGGTAAATTGAACGATTCGATTGGGTTCAGGGGCTTATTTGACCCCCTAAGTTGCCACGTCACATGCACAGTTGGCACCTTACCGGGTGACGTGACGGTGACCGGATTGAAACCTGCAAAAAGTGAAATTTGAATTTTTTTATCGAGTTCAGGGTGCCAATTGGAGCTTTTTTGGGTTGAGGGGGCAAATTGAGCAATCCGAAAGGGTACAAGGACTTATTTGACCCTTTAGCCTTTATTATATTACTTTTTTATAATTTTTTATAGATAACTTTTATGTAAATTTAAATTGTAACGGGTTCATGCAAATATAAATACGTAGCCCATACTAACTAATCAGGTTACGGCGAAGCGGGTCTGGGGCAACAAGTATTGACCCGTGCGGGTCAAAGGGAGGGGTGGGTTCACTTAGTAAAGTAACGGGACGAGTCTCCACACTCTATTGGACTACTGAGAGTATAAAAGCATAGTATATATGATAATGATATAATAATATTAAGGGCATTTTTTGCGAATAGACAAAAAAATGAAAGTTATATCACTTTTTTCACCTTTTAAGAGTTTCTTTCAAAAATAAACCACCTCAAATTTCTTTTCAAAAGTAGACCCCATTAAAGCACGCTTACTCTAACGCCTTCTCCTAACACATGCACCGATGCCCGTAAGGTTTGAGGCACTCCTCTCCTTCCCACAAACTAATGCAAAGTATGTGTAGGCACTCAATTTTTTTTTAAATGGAAAATGTAAAAATTCATTAATCATAAATGATAATGCTTAGAAAAGAATAAAATTTAAAAAGGGGGAATTGATTTTAAAAAAACATAAAACTCAAAATAAAAAACAAAATTCGAAACAAAATCGAAATTGGAAAATTGTAAATTAAATTATAAAAAATTAAAGAAAATAAAATTTTAAAAATAAATTAGAAAGATGAGAAAACGCATAGAAAACCTAAAATAAAAAACTAAAAAATTAACATTAAAAACTTTGAGATAGTTAAAAATGTGGGAAATTGTAAAAAGGTTCAAAATACGATTTTTGTAATGTAATTTTTAATTAGTCCATATAATTTATATAAAAATATAAAATGCCAAAGATATAAGAAATTGGAAGCTTAATAGCAAGATTGAAATAGTAAAAAAGGGGTAAAATAAGACAAATTTTTTGAAGCAATTAAATAATATGAAACTAATTAGAAAATTTTGTGAAGAAGTAGCTATATTTACAACTTAAATTTATTTAACTTTTATAAATAATGAAAAACTTAAAAAATATTCAAAAAATTATAAAATATCAGAAAATTATTGTAATTTTAATGAGTGTATAATTAAAAAACTCGGAAATAAAAAATGTGAAAAACTAAAATAATGAACTCGAAAAATAATTAAAAGTTGAAAAAAAATGAATTTTATAAAGTAATACATAGTAATTCTTATAGAACTTTATTTTTTTAAAAATTAATATTATCTTTTTATTGTTAGTTTTGTTGCTTATTGTTTATAACTCTTAATTTTTTTGTTTTTTATTGTTTTTTTATGTTTTGAGTTGTTGTTTATATTTATAAACCCAAATTATAAAGTTAAGTGCTTTTTTATATCTGGTTATATATAAAGCACGGATATATAAACACGGAAGAAAGTTATCTTGGGCTTTTTCCCGTTGTTACAACTCCTGGCAGTTAGACTCCGTTTGCTGCTCTCCCTACGAGAATGAGTGGCAGATGTTTTCCAATTTCATTTCCCTTTCTTTAATCTTCCAAATGCTCTCTCATTTTCACTCGCCACTTTCAGGAGCTAGGGTACCGAAGTCATCCACCGAAGCTGCCTAGCGTCCAGTCTTCCGTTGATTCACGCTCTTCTCGCTCCAGAAGATTGGAATCGTGGTGCACTTGTTCATCAACGAAATTCTCTGACGTACAAACATTATTCAGAATCTGAGTCCTCGGTCGAGGAGGAGACATAGTATAAGGAGGAGGACACATCCCTCGACATTTTTCTTTCCAAGGCCGCCCAACAATTGTTGATTGTCATGTTGCTACAACCGATTATCAAACAGCTCAGATAACCTATCTTCCTCATTAATTTGATACCGTATCTTTTTAAAATTTGATATCATGTAGGGTTTTGAATTTTCAAATAGCCATTTTTTGAGTTCAAGAGAAGTACATGCTACAATAACATGTATGTTTTTCAAGAAATTGGTTTGAACTCATCTAAGCTTGGATGAGATGAGCAGTTAAACTCAGATATACTGAATGAATGGTATCCAAATGAAATATAATTAAGATCTCCAACATCCTGTTATCTTAAATTAATTATCTTCTTCTTTTATTATTGATTAGAATATCTCTAACTACTATCTGACTTGGTAATTTATATTTAGGCATCGAATCTGCATCCTGTTGTGAATCGCTATGCTCCCACAACATCTCCTTTGAGCACAGAGAAGGACATTAATAAACTGCTACCCCAAACATCTTAGGGTATGTTTGGGAGTTTGGAGGGAAGGGGAGGGGAAGGCTTTGGAGGTGTGTTGTTGGAGGGGAAAGGGATGGGAGAGTGAGGAAGCCCTTCTTTGTATTTGGGAGTAATAAAATTGGAAGAAAAGAGTTTTTGAAGTAATTATAATTAAAATCACTTTGAGATATGACAAATTCAAATCATTGAGTTGATATTCATTTTTAATTTAGCTTATATTACCATCTTCTTAA